TGGAACCAACAAGCTCCAGGTTCAGTGAGAGACTCAGTTTCAGTAAATAAAGTGGACAGAAACAGAAGGAAGATACCTCTGTCAGCTTTGCACATCCACACACATGTCTGCACACATGTAAAACTGCCTACACATATGCAAGCATGCTACATGCAAGCTTGCTACAAACATGCAATAGAGAAACATTATATATATAATACTAATTTTAATTACTGACTTCATTTTTAGGGAAAATAAGTATTATTTGCTCTCAATTCATTGAATTTATAATTTTTTGAATAAAGTTCTATAGAGAAAAAAACTAAACAAAAGAAGTTGCTTTTTGATGTGAATAAAGATGTAAGAGGATGTGAATATGAACAGGGAAAGCACTGAGCACATCTAGGTTTCTGTGACCCAGCTGGTTAGCAAGCCACTTGAAACCTGTAGCTTCTATTTTCAGGGAGGGCAGAAGGGGTCATAGAGACCATCATGATGGCAAGGTGGGTACTAATGTCATCAGTCTACTGCATCCAACTAACCACGCTTTGTTTGCTTTTGCAGTGCTGGAGACTGAATCTCAACTCTTCACACATGCTAAGAGCCTCAATGTTGAGCCCCACCCTCAGCCCTCAACACATATTCAAATGTTTATTAATCCTTCACCTCCCTTTGTCCTTTTATGTTTGCATTATGAACCTAACAACTCTAGTCCCCTAAGAATGTCTTTAACCCTCCAATAATTAGCTATGGTCTCTAATTCTCCAGATCAAGAAATCACATTTTCTAAAAATAAAGTAACTATGAGGTGTATTAGAACATGCCTGGAATTCGCACATTCAGGAAGCAGAAGCAGGAGGATCATCATAAGTTTATGGTCACACTACTAAGTTCCAGGCTAACCAAACATACATAGTGAGACACTGCTAAAAAGTGTAGAATGGTAAACAACCTACTTAAAAAATTAATTCTTACCCAATTTATTCAATATCAAGTCAAAATATAAAACATTTTAAATAACTCCTAAATTTTACAATTAATAAAACAATGAATTCCGTATTGTATTATCATGTTTGCCCTATAAGGACAATTTGATTATTTGTGCAGTTGCTTGAAGAGGAAGGAAGGAAGATGGGAAGGAACAAGGAAGAGAGGAGGAGGACAAGGAGGTTTGTTGCACTTCCTACAGTTGTCACAGGCGGGGTGGGGGGGAGTGATTTATCTACATTTCCTGAATCTCCATGCTTTCTTCACTTAATTTTTGTGAATTAAAGATCGTCTCTGATGAGTCTTCTAAAATAATCGAATGAGCTCTTCTCACTTCTAGCGAGTATTGGAAGTTTCTATTTCTAAGGAGTTGTTTAAGGAAGATGGGCACACAAAACTGTCAAAGGAGGCGTGTTTCTATGTAAGGAAACAAAAGCTTGCACAGGGATCTTTCCCACTATGACAGGGATGAACATGCTCAAAGTCACTCAGACTTTTCGCTGAATCCAACCAAACGGTGAAAAAGCACCAACATGAAAAGTTATGTTGATTAGAGAATGAAATACATATCACATTTATAAACATCCAAAATATGAAACTGAATGGTTAGAGCTCACATTTAGTTTGCATTTAGAAAGGCTGCATACAGGTAGAAAACATCAGGAATGGGTCAGCTGTGGGATTTTATAAAAACACATGATAACCCCACCCCAGCCTGCCCATCAGTCCCTAGGATAAACCGACTGAGCTCACTGTGCAAACCTTAGGCCTGGAATTACTAGTGCTGAAGATGGCGTCTAAACAGAATGACTCAATAGCTGTAATTTAAAAGGTGCCTCGTGGATAGGTGAGATGGCTCAGCAATCCTAGGAGCTGACTTCCCTCCCTGGAACTCAGAGTAGAAAGGGAGAACAGACTCCCGAGAGCCATTTCAGACATCCACACGGACGTCCTGCATGTGCCCTCACCTGTACTCATATCAATAACGACAATAAACCAAAATCTTAGACATGAAGGTATATGGTGGTTTGAAAGTCAATGACCCACCAGAGGGAGTGGCAGTGTTAGGAGGTGTGGCCTTGTCGGAGGAAGTGAATCACTGTGGGGGTGGGTTTGAGTCCCACTTTTGCTCAGGCTCCCTTCAGTGTGACAGTCAGGAGACTTCCTCTTGCCTGCAAGATACAGGATGATCAGCTCTTCCTCTAGCACCACGTCTGCCTTCACACTGCCGTGCTCCTGGCCATGATGAGAATGGACTGAACCTCTGAAACGGTAAGCAATCACCCCAACTAAATGTTTCCTTTCTAAGAGTTAACACGGTCATGGTGTCTCCTCACAGCAATAAAAAACAGAACTAACACAGGTGCCTTGCGGTACGTTCAAAGTATTGACTCTCCGTCAAAACCCCACATTCACATTATAGGTTAAAATGGAATGACGTGAGAAAGAGTTCTTAAAGGAAGACGTGACATAGCAGAGACAACACTGTTTTTCTGAGACGGAGTAAAGAAGATGTTTCAACTTACGTCTGGAATAGAGCTGGGATTAGAGAAGCAAAGACACTGATAAGTTGAATTAAATGGGGGAAGAAGTCAGACAGGGTGCGGGCAGGCTATGAGCTTCTTGTACTCTCCAGGACTGGGCAATTGTTCTTCAAGGAAATAGAATGACCCTGCAAGACAACTCAGAGACATCATGGCTTCTGCTTCTCCCACTCCGGGCACATTGTCTCCTCTAAGAGTCAATGACTGCTTCCAATGCTGAATTCCCAGGCCACCGCTAGAGAGCCACACAGAGTCTTTGTAACAGGCTTTAGCCTACCTCCATCTCCAAGTTCTTGGGATCCACTCTTCTAGTTTCTACTATGAATTTGAGTTTCTAACGCCCATGGAGTAGTATCTGCCTTTCTGTCATTGTACCTGACCTTTGTCATGGCATAAACTCTTCCATGTTCATTCACGTCATGAATAACAAGATTTCTTAGATGTTTCATGGCACAATAATATTTCACCATGTGTCTACCCCATTTTCTTGTCCATTCATCTTTGGTGGCTGTGCTGGCTGTTGTGAAAGATGTTGCGGGAACATGGTGTCCACTTCTCTGACATACCAATTTCATTCCCTGGGGACTTTTCTTGGATTTGGGATTGCTGGGTCAAGTGGTAGCATAAGGCTATATCAACCTGCACTCCTACAAACAGCACATGGGTTCCCCTTTCTCACAAGGTAGCCAACGTTTTCCTTTGGTCTTTTTAGTAATGGTTATTCTGCCAAGTATGAAGAATGCACTGTGGTTTCAATTTACCTTTCAGGGATAATTTTAGTGGTGTTGAACACATGTCCGTGTACTCACAAGATACATCCATATTTTCTTTTGAATCATCTTTCTGGGCCTTCGCCTTCATGCGCTCATATGCGCGCACACAAGCCCACGCACGCACACATACACACCTACACACACGCACACACCTACACACACACATACCCCTACACACACACACCTATACACACACACCTACACACATGCATACACCTATACACATACACCCCTATACACACACGCACACACCTACACACACGCACACACCTACACACACGCACACATACACACACACACCTACACACACACACACCCCACACCTACACATACACACACCTACACACACGCACCCACCTACACACACACCTACACACACCTACACACACATACCTACACACACACCTACACACACGCACACATACACACACACCTACACACACACACCTACACACACGCACACACCTACACACACGCACACATACACACACACACCTACACACACGCACACACCTACACACACAGCTACACACACGCACACATACACACACACCTACACACACACACACACCTGCTTACACATTTTAGATGTTGATCCTTATTACAATCTCTGGTTTCAAATATCTTCCTCATCCCCCGGAAGTCTCTCACTCATTGATAGGCGACTTTTTATGTATAAGTTTTTCAGTTTGATACAATTTCAGTTATGTACTTATATTTTTGCGGCTTATACTTCTGAGTTCATATCAAAAAGCATTGCTGAGCCCAATATCAAAAGCTTTTCTCTGTTTCCTCTCATAGTTTCAGGGCTTATGTTAAAACCTTGAATAGGTTTTGAGTCGATTTTTTAATATGGTGAGAAGTAAGGATCCAATTTCATCTTCCTGCATAAGAATATCCAATTGTTCCAACACCATCTGTTGAGTGGACTATCCCTCTGCCATTGTATTGGCCACCATTGTTGAGGATCAATTAAGCATATACGTGGGCATATTTCTGCACTTTCTCTCCTACCTCATCATCAATATCTATCTTTTAACGCCCGCACCGCACTATGGCAATGCGATGTATTTTGATGTAAACTAGTGTGACACTTCCAACTTTGCTAATTTTGTTCACTTGATTTTCCAGGCTAATTATTTTACGGTACCAAGAACAAAAATACACTTTATCAATGGTATATAAAACCTACATGTTCTGTACACATTACAAATGTGTATACTACAGACACATATGTGTCAAGTGTACATAGTCCACATTGTATATGCCAATCGCATATCTCTTTCTCTACATATAGATCTATATGTATTTGTACATATAGATATATATGCACAAAGATTGAGAGAGAAAGAAATATCTGGCTTCCATGTTCAATAATCCATTCCACTCTCTGGGATTTCATATTCAAACCCCAAACCTGGAAATCTGTCAGAGTCAGTGATCCATGTTATTGATTATAGGATATATAATCATATAACACACATTAAGAACCAATAATGCAAAGAATTAATTCAAATCTCACTGAACATAGGTCGGCTGCACCATCTTTACAAACACAGCTTCCAATAAGTTTATGATCATGACGGTCGTACCTGTAATGAGAACACTTGCATTTACTGTTATCATTGTCTGTCTCCAGTCTTTTCAAAGCAGCACCATTTCCCAGTGCTGTCGTCGGTGTCTATCTTTAGCCGTTTCTACCACAGCGTGCACCTACCTTGCCACTGATCCACTTTTTAGGGTCTTGACTGCGGAAGTACTTCTGTCCGTAAGAGCTGGGATTGTACTTGCTTGATGAGTGTATCATTGGGATGTACTTCTCCTTTTTATGGAAGGAAGAAAACGGCAAAAACCTGAAAGGACAGGAAGGCAATATTCATGATTAGCATTCCAGAGTCCTGGTTCAGAAAAAACAGGGTTTGGAGTTGGAATACTTGCACCGTGCCTCAGCCCTGACCACTGTCAATATTCCGGCTTCTGGGACTCCTCCTTTCCTACCTGCCTAGTGATGGAGACACTCAAACTCTTCTGCTGGGATTTTGATGAATTTTAAATATATCACAATGTTAAATATCCAATGAGCAATATAAAGGTGCAAGATTTTTCAAAATTCATATTGTAAACAAAAATATCATTTTAAAGTTGTATAAATCTTAAAAAAGCAAAACAACAGCCCAGCAGTATGAGTGAGCAGTTCTTACTGAAATCAATTTCCTTCAAATCCCATAGCAAACCCCAAGTGAAGGGAGCACATCTGTTGGGTGTGAAAGACAGAGCTCTTGAATCAGCCCCATCTACTCGCGCCTCAGCTCTCTCTTGCTCTACTTGCTTCCCAAGTCACATGGCCCCCATGAGTCTTGACTTCCACATGGGGCTGATATGAGTGATAAGCAAACTGAATGAAGGGCCTGGCCTGGAGGCTGAAGAAAACATGGCGCCAGTAAACATGCTGGAGCCTGGCCTGGAGGCTGAAGGGGACATGGCACCAGTAAACATGCTGGAGCCTGGCCTGGAGGCTGAAGGGGACATGGCACTAGTAAACACACTGGAGCCAGCTGTTAAGAGAAGCGCCTTGCTGCATCCAGTGGCATTTTATTATTTTCAGCTTTGTGATCAGTTTAGGCATTAGTGGTTCGACATGAAAGACTAACCCCCACACTCCCACAGCACTGCCATTGGTGTAACCTGGGAACTTGCTCTGCTGCTTCTGCCGAATCCTCAACAGAACTCATCAAATATGAGTAAAGGAACAGAACTGTCCTTGCCATCCATGAGAAAGAGGACAGAAGACAAGAACAAAAGCTGGAGATTGCGAGGGGTTCTTAGAGGATAGGAAGAGGACTGGAAATTGCAACTGACAGAGAAAATTTGAGAAAAATGAATGTTAACATAAGTGATGGAGGAGGGTCATCTTTCTATCTGTTGTTTCATTAGTTAAATAAAGAAACTGCCTTGGCCCTTTAATAGGACATAAAATTAGGTAGGCGGAGTAAACAGAACAGAATGCTGGGAGAAAGAAGCTGAGTCAAGGAGTCGCCATGATTCTCCTACTGGACACAGATGCAGGTTAAGATCTTCCCTGGTAAGACACCTCGTGGTGTTACAGGGATATTAGAAATGGGTTAGATTGATATGTAAGAGCTAGCCAATAAGAGGCTGGAACTAATGGGCCAGGCAATGTTTAAAAGAATACAGTTTCCATGTAATTATTTCGGGTATAAAGCTAGCCGTGCGGGCGGCTGGGTGGCGGGACACAGCCCCGCTGCTCCTAATTCAACACATAAGTATCAGAAGAGGCCAATGTCCAAGAGAACTAAGGCCCTGGGGAAGGCTGGGTACTGAAGCTGTGGTCATTGCAGAAAGCAAGATTGAGGACAAAAGCTGGAGAGGGTGGATCAAGAGTTACCGAGGGAGTAAGGGAGTGCCTGGCCTTTGTCTTCACACCATACATTCCTTGTATTCATAAGAGATCACTTAGACACTTTGATGTGGTGAGTCCAGCTCTGCAGAACTGACCGTGCGTGTGCGCCAGTCCACTAGATGGAATGGAACCGTTTCAACCGACAGCCAACTCATCTGGTCTCCCTCTGCTCATCTGTAGATGAACTGTCAGCTGAACCTGAGCAAAATTATTAAATGTCTCAACACGTGGCAAAATTGCAGAGATGTGTGCTCCAGGGTCAACCTTGGATAATATTTTAACACAAAGGCGGTGTAATGAAGACTCTCCATCAAAAGTTCAATCATGCCGGGTGGTGGTGACTCACGCCTTTAATCCTAGCACTTGGGAGGCAGAGACAGGTGGATCTCTGTGAGTTTGAGGCCAGCCTGGTCTACAAGAGCTAGTTCCAGTACAGGCTCCAAAACTACCAAGAAACCCTGTCTCAAAAAAAAAGTTCAATCCCACACTCAGTTCCTTGCTAGTTGTTTCCTAGTTGAGAAAAAACAATGAAAAACAAAAACCACAGGAAACAGGTGTCATACTATAGTAACCAAGAGAAAACTCATAGTTTGTAATAAATATAACCCAAGTAGATATTGTGCCGCTGAAATAAGAAATAGGTGGTTTTTTTCAAATAAAAGTTATATTTAGAAAAGAAGCAAAATTTGGAAAATAAAAACATACAGCAAGCTTAGAGAAATACTTTGAAACTCGGAGTCTGAACCAGAAAAGCTGAAGCTCAGCCAAGCTGAGGACGCCATGACTGGTTCCCAAGATTCCCACACGACACATTTCATTGAAATGAGATATTTTAAAGTCTAAGTTAAAATTTTATTTTTATTGTGTTCATATATTTGCTTAAATGATAAATTTAGGAGAAGACTTACTTCATTTTCATCTTATTTTTAATTTTTACAAATGAACTCTTTTATATTTGCCAATAAGATTTAACATTTAAAAAACTCAGTAGTGAGGTTTGAAGTACAAAACTAATTATGGAAACATGAAGGATTTTCATTTTTGCAGGGAAAACAGCTTTCATGAAGACAAATTTTGGTCTTTAGAATGCTAATTTGCATATGGGATGAACATCAGAGACATGCAGAATCCATGTGGCCCCAGTGTCCCTGAGTATCTGAAGACGGTGTTATGAGCAGCTGCTGCATGTTAGTTCCTGTCTCTTCTCGAATGGCATTTCAATACATTTTTTCCTTTGTGTTTGTGCAAAATTTGCTTTCTTGAAGGCATAGGCAAGGTCCCCCAAAAAAACCTAGTTTCATTTAGCCACAGTGATTCATCAATCACATGTATGTGTGTTCTTAAGTACGTGTACATATGTGTATAAGCTGCATAAATTTAAAAATATCTAGGCATTGCATAATCTTTAGATAACCTTATCTCACAATTAATAAAATGATTTAACCATCAAATAAAGTATGATTATGAAAACTTAAAATTCACGAAGTAGCTGACAGTCAAATTTTGATTATTTTGTAAACTCATTTCAAAATTTCTTCCTTTACACATAAAATATACCCTTAGTTGTACTTTGTGCTTTCAGCGGGCACTGTGCAATTGCCTTGACTCCGCATTATAGAAGGAGCCAGGCTGCCCTATTGTTCCTATAATCTTAACAAAGACACAGATCTGGAAAAATAAGATTTTATTACAGCTCAAACATATTTTACATATGTGCCTGGGATTTGTAGAGCATGGGGCACATGTGGAAATCAGGGGACAACTTCAGAGTCTGTTTTTTCCTGTCACCACATGGGCCCAAATAATTGGGCTCGGCTTGTGAGGCGTGGTGGCAAGTGCCCACCTGCTATGCTATCTCATTGGCCCAGATCTGGAAAAAAGTCTTAAAAGCAATGGAGTTACAGTGACGTATGCTAATGGCTCGTCACTCAACTAGGCTATTCTAGATGATCTGCTAAAAGTCTTCGGAAGCAGAATGTGAAATGGTTCAGAGAAAATGATCTATTGCAATGGACATTGAATACTAATACATTTAATATAATTTTCCAAATAATACCAACAAATTACCCTTCTTTCCCCCTTACAACTCTGCCTATTTTCCCTTCTTTTCATATAATCTTATTACTGTCATTCATAATTCTAGGCTCACCAACCCATGTATTTTTAGTGACAGTTAATTCAAATCTTCAAATCAGGAAGCTCAATATCCTATTGATTTAAGTCTCAAGCCTTCAATCTTGCTTAGACTTTGTCCACTGCACCCCATCTGTCCAGTGTGCTCTGCACCCTGCCTACCTTTCTAGTTTGTTCTCCATTCAGTCTTCCTCTCCCATTCTCTCTGTGCCTCTGTGCATGCTCCCCTTAAAAAGTCGGTCCATCTCTCACCCTCATGCTCAATCAGAACCCAGTTTAACTCTCCTCTCCTAGACAGCTGAGTTCACTTACTCCAACTGCTCTTGTTCTCCATTGCCTAAATGTTTAGTCATTCAACGGACATCAAGGGAAATATTTCTATACAATAATCATTTTGAAAAACACGGAAATGGGGTGGAAAATACCACATACTTGGATGGGATTTTCCTTTAAGGAGGGGGCAGGGAACTCGGGATCACACAAGCAAAATGTAATGTTTGTTTGTGGGGGAACAGAAGCACAGGAGGCAACAATAGAAGCAGTGACGGAGGAAGGCTGTGTTTGTTCATGCATGTGTGTACGCTAGTGCTCTTTACTCAAGAAAACTGGGGACTGGTGGGGTCTTGCCTGCCAGAGTTAGTGCAAGATGAATCCAGAGAGTGAAGAAATTGGTGATGGTATTTAATGTGTGTGTGTGTGTGTCTGTGTATTTGAGAGTGTATGTGTGTGTTGCTCTGCAAATCGCTTAAATTAACAATTGCTAATGCTTAGGATCACTAGACATATTTTCCAAACTCATATTCCTAGGAACTGAACTACCCGTGATTTAAAGTGTCTGTACTGTGAGTTCCAAGGCAATAAACGCTTCCATCTCCTTGACTAGAACGACTGACCTAGCACTAAATCAAATTCTAGAAACCTGTACTTCATCTTCTCTGCAGAGTTAGTCCTAGGAGAGGGAGGACATCTTTCCATCACTGTGGTTTTAGCTGTCAGCTCTACACTGTAAGTTCTATACCTCTACCTACAGACACATGTTACCACAAGACCGTGTTATCCAATGTGCTCTAGTGACACTCAACAGGTCCACAGGAGGCAGCTCAGACAACAAGAAGAGCTGCTGCATAACAAAAACCATCTTCTCAATCAACTGCCTGTCTCGTTAATCTGCCCAAGCTTTCTACTTATTTTTACATTAAGACCATCACCATTTAATCAGTCATCTAGGTCAGAAGCCATCAAGCTAGGGTCTTTGCTCTCCTCAGTCAGGAATCCTTGCTTATGGCCCAATGTCATAAG